TCTAGCTGTAGCATATCAATGATAACGTCATAACTCAGCTTTGTTACTTTGAAATTCTCTCTTAAGGCATAAGTGTCATTCAATCTCAAGATTTCTTCTTTAAATGTTTCATTCAATACATTCTCTTGATTATTTGCTAGGTATATACTCCATCTTTTTATTACCTTGGTTTTAACTCCAAGTCAATTGGCAATCCTAGTTGAAATGTAATTTTTTGTAGGATCACAATTCACAAGCATTCAAGATAATTGTCCTCTTAGTCAACCTGTTAGATATATCAATTAGATTTTTTGATAATTGTTGAAGGCCATGCCATTTGTCTTTGAGAAATAACAGCTATTTCCAATACTAGCTCTCGATGCCTATACTAAAAAGTCTCATTTCCTTGTTCTATTTTTTTATTAACTTGATGATACTTGAAATTGTGAATCCACTTTCATTTGTTAGTACTTAAATTTGACATTTTAAAATCATCTTTAATTTGGTGGCTTGGCTCTCAATAGTAAAAATACAATCTCTTTTATTCCAATAATTTTTGTGTCTATAATATTAGTGATCCATGAAAGGCATCAATCTCCATTATCATTGATTGTTGTACCATAGTATTAGATAACAATATTCGACTTTGTGCTATAAGTCATACTCCATGATTTTTAAAATCTATAATAGTAACCTTCTTTGTAATCTTAATTATAATCTTAAATATTTATGGATGCCTTAATTCCATTTTTTATTGGACTATAGATTTCAATCCTTATAAAAATCAATCTATCATCTTTGTCTCTAAAATATTGTCAATTTGGAGACATAAGAACTTGGATTAGAAAACATAATCTTGCATTGATTTGGATAGTGTAAGATTAGCCAATTCATTGCATGCTATCTTCTTTGTATTGATAGGCCAAAATTGATTCTTAAATTCAATCTCAAACTCCTATTTATAAAATCCATCTTGAGCTCTATAACATTGAATTTAATATCACTACCAAATGGCTGCTGTATCTTTCAAATAGCTGATTGAATATATAATTTTTTTAGTGGTATTTGTCCTAGATAGTTGGAGGTATTGTCACATGTTGAAGAACCATTAGCATACATCTTCTTGCCTTGAAGTCCTAGAGTATGTATCAAACTTACTCAATTTTAGCTTGACAAATGTCAATTTTTTGTCTTAGAGGCTTCTATTTGTTCTTGCAGAGTAGCTATTAAGCCTAGGAGGTATAATATCTGAGTTTCTATTTTAGATTGTTTTGTCATATCTCCCATGTTATAATTTTGTTACTAAACTCTGCTACTATAATGCCTTTTCTTTTTCTAGTTGACTTCTTAAAAATAGCTCATGGTAGCTCCAAAAAAATATCTAATATAATTATAACAATTAATCTCTAATTATTAGTGGCTATTAACTCACTACCAAAGAACAATCTAATATTCGCTTTGATATTAATGAAATAAAATTGCACTATCTCTAAGATCTAAGATCTATCCAATTTGTAGCAATATAATTTTTTTCATAGTATAGGTTAGCGTCGACTAGAAAAAAATTGAACAAAAATAAACAAAAGGGAACATGAAAAGCAAAACAAAGCAAAAAAAAAAAAAAAAAAAAAAAAAAAAAAGAACAAAATTGAATAGAAAGATGCAAAATCAAACTTTATTAAGAGAAAGAAATCAAAGCTATACCTGATCTGATACCTAAATGGTCCTAATCAATCATATTTATACTTTTTTAAACCATCCTAGAACTTTTTAGAATGTTCTTAATGGTGGGCCTTACCTAAATAATTTTCATAAGTCTTTTTTAGAATATTCTATAGTGGAATCCAAATAGATCACCAATCTAATTTCAATTCTAGAAACTTCTAAAAACTTCTTAAACATGGCTTCAACTACCTATTTTTATGTGTCAATACTACAAATATCTTATCCATACCCCATTACACTATTGCTGAAAGACAAAAAAACTAAAAACTTTTAAAACTAAATTAGAAGCAAAAAAAGAATTGATAAGAGTGAAGTAGGCTTCATTCTTGCTTTCATAAGTACTATCTAACTAAGAACTAGATAGTAACATACTATAAGTCCTTCAACATGTATCCAATTTAGAAGATATGTATTTCAACTTGCAAGTTTCTTATATGTGCACAACATGGTTAACTTGTATTATAAGCTACCAATATGCATAATACATGGCTAATTTATTAGACATGAGTTCAACCTATCAATGACCTATAAACACATATAAAGGTGAAACCAAGTCCATGAAGCTTCTAAGAAGCTATTCTATAAGGTATTATCAAATTAATCTACTTTTATTTACTTCTATTTATTCATATTAATTAAATAATTATTAAAATAAATATATAATTTTATGATAATATCTTGTAATATCTCCATATTTAATTCATTTTTCATACTTTATTCATGTGTTCTTGTGTTTCTTTCTTCATAGCTAATAAAAACAATTACTTCCAAAATATAAAGCCTTAAATAATCCTATGTTTTTGAAGTCATTATATTTCTTTCTTTGCAATCAATCAAAAGCTTTTTTATCTTTTTGTATTATATCTATATTATCTTATATAATTAATAAAATTTAAAAGCCTTTGGTACATTAAATAATCTTGTGAATGAAATTATTTTTTGTTAAAAGAAGTAGAAAGTTTACAAAAATTATTAAAGATTTATGGAAGTTTGTTGTATTATAAATTAAAATAAATATACTTCACTGATCATATACATGCAATTATATCTTATATCTATTGATTTATAATAATATTATTTATATTCATTATTCATGCCATATATTAAAAATATATATATATATATATATATATATATGTGACTATAATGAAAAAAAAGAATGTATAATAAAAAATATTTAAATATAATAATTATTTTATATATATTATATAGAATAAAAAGTCTAATATATATAAAATCTAATATATATGAAATGCAAAATCTAATATATACAAAATCATGAATATATTAGACTTAATATAAAAAATTCCAAGTTTGAAGTTCGCTAGTCCAAAATTCTTTTTTTCATGGCGAATCAAATTACTTTTCTATCTCTTTATGTTATACTTAAGTACCATAAATAATAAATATTAAAATAATAATTATATGAATTTATATGCTCTTAAGTAAATTGATTAAAAAATACATAAACTTCTTTTTTAAGATTTTTTTAAATTTTTATATACAATTATAATGATCTATGTGAGTCATCAAATTGACTCACTAGTTTTTTTAAGAAAAAAAGATGCATTTAGAGTGCTTAAAATCATAATATATGGTGAGTAGTGTAGAAATATTTAGAAAAATAGAAAATTAGAATGTTAGTTATAAAAATGGAGTCTTAATAAGTCTTCAAAATAATTATCTTAGTTGTTTTAGTATTTTTATTTATTATTTAATATTAAAGATGATTTATCAAGATCAATATTTATATTGGCCTTATATATATATATATATATATATATATATATATATAAACTATAAATATTTTTTAGTAGTTAAAAGAAGCATGAAAAAGAACCTCATGTCTTTTTAATTAGTTATATAAAAAGTAAGATTTATAGAAGATTTAAATTCATTTTATTACTATAAAAAATTATCAAGGTAGAAAAATATAGATTTAAATTGATATTAATATTATAAAAATATTAAAAGTATTTTTAAATTTTATTTAAAATTTATTTAGAATTATTTAGGAATTTTTAGAGTAATTTTCAAGACTTTGATAAAAATGAGTTTTACCACTTTGGGAGCCATTATGAAGAAATGGAGCAAGATTTGAAGGCCACATAAGGTTCCTAGGCTAATTGGATGTTTTTAAATACCAAGATGAAGTCAAAAATATAAAAATGTTGGTTTTACTAGTAAGAAATAGGAGGACTAGTAGCCAATGTAGTTTTTGTAAAACTGGAGGTGGATAAGTCCCGTATGGATTGTAGCACCTTAAAGGTAGTTAAGACGATAAGCCTAAGGCCTTGTGGCCTCTCTAAGATATCTATATATACTACTTGTGAATCTTGGTGAGGCTTGAACTCTTGATCTCTTAAACAAATTATTCTTAAAATAAAAATTATTCATTTAATATTTTATATATTTACTTTTTATTTTTAAACCTTCATAATTTACTCATAATAATTCGAATTTATATGAATCTTACATCATTAGAAAGATAAAAAAAATTATCTATTTAAAAATTTATTTTTTATTTTTTTACTATTATCTTTTATTAGATGAAAATCTAATAAATAGATTGTGACTAGTTTTATAGTGTATAATTACTTGATTGTATTTGTTCTACTTGTTTTGTGTTGTGCTTCTTTTATTTTATACTTGCTACTTTCACTTCACACCACCAATTACAAACAACTCTTAATTAAAGCCATCTTGTATTTTAAGTTAAGGGGTGAAATTTACCTTCATAATCTATATAAATAATTTTGGCTATAGTATTTATTTTTGAAAATAAGTTTTACTACCAATAATGTGTCACAATACCACAAAGCAAAACTAGGCAAAAATCCTAAATCATCCTCAAAGCAAGAAACAATGATCAATCAATTCCTAAGTTTCATATATTCTATTTTCAATAACCAATTAAAATACATCTTTGTCTCTCTATCTTTTATCCAAAATATTTTATACAATAGATATGAATATGTGTCTTGAAAGGAGATGCAAATTGAAAACAATGGAAGAGAGAGAGAAGATAGAAGATGGAGGGAGAGAAAGAAAGGGCAGAGAGACAAAAGACAGAAGTGAGAAGGAAAAAAAAGAGAGATGGCAAAGAAGGAAAGGAGGGCAAGGAAAGAAAAGCAAAGAAAGAAGAGAGAGAGAAGGAAGATAGAGAGAAGGAGAATAAAGAAAGAAAGGAGAGAGAGAGAGGATAAAGAAAAGAAGGAAAAAAGAGGGATGGAGAGAGAGGAAAGATAGAAAGAAGGAAGATAGGAAAGAAAGGAAGGGAGGGCAGGGAAGAGAAGGAGAAAGAGAGAAGAAGGACAAAAGATGGAAGGAGAGAGAGAAGGCAAAGAAAGAAAAGACATGGGAGGAAGAAAGAAAGAAGAAGGACAAAAGAAGGAGGGAGAGAGAGAATGGGCAAAGAGAGAGAAGACAAGAAGGAGAGAAAGCATTAGAAGGAAAGAGAGATAAGAAGGGCAAAAGAAGGAAGGAGAGAGAGAAAGGGTAAAGAGAGAGAGGACAAAGGAAGGAAAGAAGGCATTAGGGGGAGAGAGAGAGGAGGCAAAGAGAGAAGAAGAGAGAAAGAGGGCAAAAAAAAAACAAAGGTAGGAGAGGGAAGGAAAGAAAGAAAGAGAGAGAAAAGAAAAAAAAGGAGAGAGAGAGGGGGAAGGCAAGGGAGGGAGAGAGAAAGAAGGCAGATAGAGAGGGAGCGTGAGGAAAGGAGAGAAGGCAAGGAAAGATAGAAAGAGAGAAGGCAAGAGAAGAAGAAGAAGAGAGAGAAGACATAGAAAGGAAGAACAAATAAAGGAAGAAGAGAAAAGGAGGGTAGAGAGAGGGAGGGCTAAGAAGGGAGGGAGAGAAAAAGAAGAATAACAAAAGAAAGAGGGAGAAAATGGGAGGGCAAAGAGAGGGAGGAAAAGAGAGCAAGTGTAGAAAGAAAGGAGAGAGAAAGATTGAGAGATGAATGGCAGAGGAAGGAGGGAGAGAGAGGGTAGAAAGAGGGCAAGGGAGGGAGTGAGAGAGAGGGTAGAAAGAGGATTGGGGGCTTGGGCTATGCTCCTCCTACGGGGCGGAGACTGGACGTGCCTTGTTTGTTCTCCTCCCCCTCCTGCCTGCTTCTCCTCCTTCCTCCCTCGCGCAACTTTATGACTCTAGTCATAGTAGTGACCACAACATCTACCTGCCTCCATTTTTTTTTTTTTTTTTTTTTTTTTTTTTTCCCCCTTCCTTGTCTTCCGTTTTTCCTCTACAACCTTGTCCCATCACTCCTTCCCCGCCCCTCTGTTGTCTTCATCCTCCTCCTTCTTGGATTTGTGCCCATCCATCATCAGAATTTCATTTTCGGCGTCATTATGCTTGGCGTTCTTTTTGTGGCATCCATCCTTTTTCGCCCTGTTCCTCCTCTGCGTCCAACATTCTCCTTTCTTCCGGGCGTTTCTCTCTCTCTCTCTGCCTCTCAACTCCCATTCTCTTTTGCGGTAGGCGGTCGCTTGCTGTCGCTCGTGAATTTTCTTAGTTTTTGTTTTTATCCATATTCTTCCTTGTAGGTTCTGTTTACTCCGTTCGAGCTTCGTTGCGTCGACAGCTTCAAACAAAAGACTCTCTTTGTGGCTCATTACCTAGTACAGCTACCCGGTCTCTTCGCTGGTGCAGTCATGCCTCCTCTACGGTTAAAACCCTAGGTGGTTGCAGACCGGGAGGGGTTAGAGGGAGGGAAGGCGGTGGTGAAAGTTCTGTGGGCGGAGATTACTTGAACGGAGAACATGGAAGACGAGGATGCCGAGCTCGAGGAAGGAGAAGCCAAGGAGGCCCTCGATCCTGATACCGACTTTTCTTACCTCGTATACGCCTTCCGCTTGTTTTGCATTTAATTATTTGATTCAGTTCTGTCTTTTGTGTTGCAATTCACTCCTCTCCGCGTCTACGTGCTTGTGCAAGTGGGGATGGCCGAATTCTGAGATTCTTGGAGTTTGGATGTCTCCCTATTGCCCTTCTGCTATCTGAATTTGACAGAATCGCCTTCGTTGGTCTTGAAGTCATTTAGCGATATTGATGTGGACTAGGTTTCCCCTGCATTGTTACGAGAACCTTCCAGCCTTCGCATGGCGTCCCGCCGATGCAGCGAAGGTGATCAAGGAAGCTTAATTGTTAGGATCAGCTCTCTCAATATTTCAATGTCGTATTCGTAATGATCGGAAAGTTTATTCTTTTCTGACAAGGTGGATACTGTCTTCAACATTATGTGGATTTTATTGCAAGCCATGTTGCTTGGGAGACGCTATGGTGGTTGTGTAGTGATTGTTCACATGGAAGGAATGTAGCGCAAAATTTCATACTATTGCAAGGATTAAGTGGACCACCGACTTTTCAAAGCTCAAAATAGAAACCGAGATATATTAGCACTTTTTATAACCTTCTTGCATGGTCTTGGGGCAGGGTTACACTGGACATATTCATTAGGTTCTTTGTTTGAGGTTTAAAAGATAATTAGTACTAGATTTAAAGCTTTGCTCACATTCTTTGTAGGATTACCTGCAACACGAAAGAGAGATAGAGAGAGGGAGAGGGAATGAGGGAGAGAGGAATATTAAGTTGCGTCACCTAAAAATACACTCTAACATTGTGGGATTAATGGCTTCACGTGTTCAATTAAATTATGCCTCGAATGTGTGTGGCTCTTAATGAGCGAAATAGATGCCTTTTGGGGTAGAACTTCTACTGATGTCTGGACTGTGGCAGGATACGAGATTGGAAATGTTATTGGGTGACTGTCAAAAGGAGTTTCAAGGGGGCAACCTTTCTACAGAGAAACTGGGTATGCTCTCTCTTTTCTGCAGATATAGAGCGAATTGCTTCTTATATGGCTATATCCTGTCGCGTCCGGAAGGCAGTAAAAGGCACCAAGTAACTTTTTTGTGATATGTGTATCACCACTCCTTGATCTATTTTTTGGCAAATAGTGTCATCTGGTCCCAGCCACGTGATGCTGCCAAGACGGTACATTTCTCAAATGAAGAATCCATTTTAAGATGAACCATACTTAGGGTGCGTATACGCTGAAGTCAAGTTTGAATGATCTCAGGGTCCAAGTACGGAGGCTATGGCACATTCCTACCAACCCATGCTCGTGTCCCATCTATGTTATCCGATCCCCATCCAGCACCGACTGCTGCCGACGCTTCACGGCCTGCGGGAGAAGGATTGAGCATTTCAACAGAGGTGATGAAGTAATTTATTTTCCTATATATGTATTTCTTTCACAAATCTTGTCCTTCTTAAACCTTTGAAAATACCTACGCACATTGTAAACACAGTGCTATGAGTGGGGTGACAGCCTTCGAGGCGTTCCGTGGGATCTTCAGTGCAACAAATCAGCACGAGAGGCAACGGTGTCGTGAGTACTTTAGCAACCAATAATAAGGTGAAGTTAAAAATTAAATTAGGTAAACAATATGTGGATACAGAGGAAGCGAAACGAAAGGCACTCTACAACGGAATTGGCTTGGGCGATTTTTCAGATGATGAACCATCTTTAGACGACGATGATGACAGCCATTCCCGTTCAAACGCGGAATCCCCTGAACCAAGTTTAATGGCCATAATCGAGGTATTTCTGTTATATTTCTTCGTAGTAATTAGATGGTTTTGGATTTGAACTAACAGATCGTGCATGATCTTTGATACAACCTGATGAATTTATTGTCATGGTTATTGTACCAGATGATGACAGCGCTCTGTCCGGAAGGAGGTTTGCTCTCTCCACTGTCGGATAACACAATCGGGATTATGGACGTCAAGAATTCTAATTCTTACATGCATAAATCTGGGATCTCCCCTTCTGCTACTTTAAATACGTATATTTCTGCAAATAAGGTCGATTTGGAATCCCCTTGTGTGCCTGATTCAGATTGTAGGAAAAGCAAAGGGTTTGAGTCTGATAAGCATTCTACAGATGGTAAAAAGGGTGGTGACATCGTTGCCCACTCTAATGGTGGGAGAAAATCTAGAAGGGATTTTGATGCAAATAAGTCATCTGTAAAAGAACGTCAGTTGAAATCTGGCACGAACGAAAACTCTAAATCGGAGCATCTTGATTCTTTCGATGAGAAAGGGATGGAAGTACTTGGGAAAGAGGAATTCGATTTAGTGAAAAGTTCTCGGAAGCAACTTGAAGTGAATAAACCCTCGGCTATGGATGGTCAAAAGGATAGGGAAGCTACAGATGGTAAAGGACCTGAGAAATCTCATGCCTCGAAAAACAGAGACAGTAAAGATTTGTCTCGACCTAAATCAACCGGGAAAACTTCTGCATTGAGGGAAAGTGAGGCCGTTCGAATGATTGACAATGTCAAGGAGAGTAATCACAAGGTCATTAGCCTGCTCGAGTCCAGAAAACAAGGAAAGGACGATTGCAAAAGCTCAGCACTTGGAAGATTCAAAGAGAACCCCAAGGAAAGGCTTGAGGATAACCTAAGGAAGGACGTCGCAGGAGAGACGAAAGCCAAAGATCTGATCCGGGAAGGTTCTAAGCCCGGAAGTGCTACCAAGAAATCTAATAGCAGCGTCACTGCTCGTAAAGGTGTTCCACATGAGCAGAAGAATTCTAAGAATGCTCAGGACAAGAAATCGCTTGTGAAAGACTTTGAGAATGAACGAAAGAGCATGACAGAATCAGTGGTTGGAAAGGAAGAAGAGAAATTTCCAGCACCTGTTGAGGCTGCGCCAGTCTCTTTGGTGGTCCCCCAGCTGGTCTTAGACAACTGGGTCGCCTGTGACAAGTGTGAGACTTGGCGGTTGTTGATGCCCCATGTAGATCCAAAATCACTACCCAAAAAATGGAGGTGCAGGATGATGGATTGGCTGTAAGTGGCTAAAACGGACTATCTTTAAATTTCATCGTTGTCTACGTCTTTTGCATGTTTGCCGTGGTCTGCACATCTAATCGTGTCTCTGAGCGTGCTCCAACATGTTTTGATATTGAAGCATGAATCGGCTGGCAGATTTTACTCCTTTTGGATCCTTATATTTAGTCTTTTTTTCTTTTTTCTTTTTATTTCCTGCTAGTTTTGTAATATCCCAATTGCTATACTCATGTGTTTCATTAGTTTTCTTCACATTGACGTATAGTGGGTTGGAAACAGGCCGAACATGAACAACTGCAAGTGGTTGGAGGCAGAGACCACAGCAGCAGTGTACGCTCTTCTGGGGTATCAGAATCCTGCTCTACCTGCTGCAGGCCTTCCAGCGGCGGGTGCTGCCCCTGTTACATTCCTGGCTCCAATCTCATTGGCAGATCCTGTGGTGGACGAGTGGGCCGGTGAAGTGGATAACAAAAAGTCTTTTTTTCCTAAAAAGGATGTACCAGGGAAGTTGGGGGCCGCTATTGCTAAAGTCGGTGGGGACAAAGAGATTGATGGAGCAATGAAAAGTAAGAATATCAATTATGCCGGTCTTGATAATTCTGGTGATGGTATAGCAGGGAGCGACAACTATAAGCATAAGCATAAGGAAAAAGCCAAGCGTACACGTCCCAGTGAAGGTTGATTTCCGAATTTGATGTGCATGTTCACAACATTTTGCTATAGTCTCTGGAGGACCAACCGCTGTTTTAAATTGTAATTTTACAATTCCTAGTGCATCAGAGGCTTCGATCTGGTTGAGTACCCAGCAGTACCTATTCAACGGCCATTGTAATTTGTATCTATGAAGTCTGGAAATGCTCGCATGGGCCAACGTACATGTGTATATTCATTTTATGTAGTTTGTAAACTTAGGTTTTTGTTGTACTAAACTCTATTTTAAAGCCTGTTTAAGGCCTGAATTCTCTCGGTAAGTAATTATTTTGTCCGCTGTCCCTTTTCACTGAATAACAAAAAAACCAACAGAATTGTCTTTTGTTCCAGGTGAAGACACACGGATCAAGAAGAAAGTTTTGCAGGAACAAGAGCGTAATGTCGACGCACCGCAATGGAGCAAGGAGTCTATGGACCTAGAACTTCCACAGGTTTACAAGGAGAGAACGGGAGTTTTACTACCAGGAGAAACACAGGGTAGTGGTCCAGGCAAGAGGAAGAAGACAGGGACTGCTGAGGATCTGGATGAGATTCAAAATTCGAAGAGGAGCAAGCTTGATAGGTCAAAGTTACAATATGATGACCTACAGGATCCAAGTGAGAACTGTCTGGAAACAGATAAGCGGGTCAATGTACAGAAATTAAAAAGAGAAATTTCAGTTCAGAAGCCAGGCGATAATTTACACACTATCATACACCACAAAGAGACGAATGATATCAACTCTGTCTTGGAAGACCTCAGGGATCATGACGGGGTTGAGAAACGCGGAGAAGTCAGGGATCAAGGCAGAAATTCAAAAGGTTTAGAGAAGCAGAAAAAATCAAAGGAGGATGCCAATGACTCTGATCAAAGAACGTGGAAGAAGCGCAGGGACGATACATCCTACCACAGACCTAGCCAATCGAGTCCACCAGGAAAATCGACGTACGAGAGGGAAGATTTCAATCGTTCAACGTCGTCTAAGGTTTCTAACTCATCCTCAGGATCATCCGGCCTAGGGTTGAGGGGCGTTGGCTCTCCTCTGGAATCTACTGTCTCATCGTCACCTGTGAGAGTAGGAAATGGAAATAGAGACCTATTCTATAATAGAGTTGCTTCAGGTCATGCCACTTCGGGAATTGACACTGGTATGCAGTTGTCACCAGGCCCCAAGCATGCTCGGGCTCCCTCCCGTGGATCATCTTTGGACGAAGGAGAATACCGGCTTCCTGGGGTTATACAGAATACCTCGAGATGTGGTAAGCAAGACTCTGGTGGTGAGGCTCGTGATGATGTTTGGTATGATGGGGAAGATAGAGAAGCAGATCGTGGGCATAATCAACATTCAGAGCGGCTTCTACACAACTCCGGGGATATGGATGATGATGGCCAACAACTAAGACGCCGAGGCAATCGTGAGCGTGATAGTGATTCCAGGCGGTTTGATATCAGGGATCACGATGATGTCGACCATAGTGATCACCATGTTAAGGAGAGAAATAATGCAAGAGATAACAAATGCCGTCCTCCACGAGACTGTGGTCAGGAGAAAATTACGCTGGGGCGCGGGGGTAGGGTTGCTCCTAGCAGCAAAGATATCAATCGAGAAGGAGATAGGATTGTTTCAAACATGTGTAAAGATGGCGGAGGAACCGCGGTAGGACCGGCGGATCTCAATAAAAGGCCAGTCGCTTCTTCAAATACTCGCGGTGGGGTCGATAGAGGGGAGGCATTGAAACGGGAAGTTACAGAAGCTCGGTTAGCAAAGCCCTTGGTCGTGGAGATAGCTACAGTTAGCCCTGCAAAGAAGGAACATGATCACGCTATTCAAACATCAAAGAAATATATGCAAGATGCGAAAGATTTGAAGCACTCAGCAGATCGACTGAAGGTAGGTTTGTGGCTGTCTTCACAAGTTTGTACTCCCAAACTGCAGTTCTTATTTTTATCGATTGTCGAGTTATAACGTCCGGCCCCTCATATTAACGCATGTAAAATGGTATCAACTATTTCTGACTTGGCATAGTCAAGTAACAAATGATTAATCCTCAGGACCACAGATTTAGAAATCAAAGAACGATTTTTTTTTCTGATTCTGATATATGTTTTTGTGATCTACAGATGAAACAGAAAGCACCAACTTTTGCTGATGAAACAGAAAGCACCAACTTGTATTTACAGTCAGCTCTGAAGTTCTTACAATCTGCAGCAATACTGGAACCTCTACAGTCAGAGAGTAGCACTTTAAAGTCGATGGAACTCTACAAGGACACAGCTGGCCTTTGCGAGTATGTCTTGTAACCTAATGCTGTATTTGCCTGATTTCATCTTTTCTCATTAAGCACTATATCTTGGGCTATTAAATTCTACATCTATTTCTAGAGTCTTTCAAACGTTATTTCCCTCATTTGAATTAAAGTTTACGGCGTTATCGTTGCTGACTATTGAAGGATATTCTCAATGAATTATCTGTATGTACCCACCCATGCGACAGGTTCTGTGCTTGCCAGTATAAACGACGGGGGGATCTTAGAGCTACAGCTCTGGCTTACGCATGTGCCGCCGTAGCTCGTACAAGGCTTATGATATCAAAGAAAACATTCTTTGCAAATGACTGTAAGGAGTTCCAGTCTGCTATAGAGTCGAAGTCTGGCCCACAAGTTCCCTCAAACGGTGAGTTCTCATAAATCGTGCATTACCTGCTTCAAATGATGACTTAATTAAGTCAAAATCCTAAATTAAAGACTGGGTTATCTGTTGATCACGCAGGGGAGTCTCCGTCATCTTCTTCAGCCTCAGATGTGGACTATCTCAATAAGCACCACGGTTTAATTTCTGGTAACAAGGCCTTGTTGGGCAAGGCAGCAATTGTATTCCCTCAAGTGGTATCGGGAGCAAATGGCACTTCAGTCAGCATTCCTGCAAGGCTGCGGCCAGTTGCGACTCGATTTCTAAAAGATGTATGGCTAAGTTGGCAAACACTCTGGGTGCTCTATTCAACACCACACTGTTCCAGTGATGGATGTTAAAGCATTAGTTACGAGGATTGATCGTTGAATTGCAATTGCCGGTTTGCAGGCTCAGGACATGAGTTTGCTACTGGAGTCATGGCAGAAAGCTGCAGATGCTACAACAAAGGCGGAAGCAAGTAAGGAGACACAGGGTTTGGCTGCCGTGAAGCACGTGGGGGAGTTGGGCGGTCTGGGTGATATAGATGGAGTTGTACGATTAGTGCGGGTTGCACTGGATGCTATCGGCCACTAGTTAGGCGAGGCACTTGCCAGAGATCCGAGAATGGAGAAGAGGATGGCGGTGAGTTTGTAAAACGATTTTTTAGGGTTTTGCTCAGGACATGAGTAAACGAATCCTGGTTGAGCAAACCTTAAGTGAATACTTGTACCAGTATATTGTTACAAAACAAAGTTTGAATAGGTTAGGACAACATTGCTTCCACCTACCCGATCTCTCAACCAAATGGCTGGAGAGATTCAGACATTAAAATCGTCCACAGTTGGAAATTAGTTACAATTAAATCGTAGATTTTTGTTAAAGTAGATAATTCTTATATACTTCATCGACTTCGTTGCCCAACAAAAGTCGAGTAATGTTTTCAACAGTTGTACAAATTTTCTTTGAGTATATGATACGACCACGAGTAGCAACAAAAAATGTTGCTATAGTTGATTGCTTCTACTGGTCTTTTTGCCACTTTCCATCAGAGCACAGTTGATGTTACCTCTTATAATATCAATTGCAGTCCATTTGAACTGCTGAATGCTGTACTTTAAGAGTGCATCACAGTGTGCATTTTACGTAATTAAACCCAAATTGTTTAATGAATAGGTTTTGTACATTTGCTTTTCCCGATAATTTCATTACCAAATTTGTTGACACCAAACTTCTTAATTTTATCCCGCATTATCCTGACCATTCCAGTAAGTAATAAAGAAGTTTCTTTTCATCAAGATTTGAGATCAGCGCTGCAAAAGTCGCGATTAATAAAAAAACGAAATTTTCCTTAATACTCGGGGTGCTTAACAGTAAACTGATGGGAAAAGGCCAGCAGGACAATGCATTGATAACGAGCGCCAACGAATTATGAAAACAGGTTTCTTTCACATGGATGGGCACATAGATGCATGTACACAAGTTCCAAAAAGAGTTTCCCAGTGACGCAACAAAGCACCCAAGTATAAATATTCATTATGCCTCTTGCCAAATCTAACTGCATATTGCAGATTATATATGTCCTCTCAAATTTACATCGTAGAATCTATACTCAGAATAAAAGCAACAGTCGAGACTCTACTTCCCTCAATACCTCCGAATCGGAACGTAGGATAAGTGCGAACATGGTCTAAGTACTCAAAAGTTGGCTCTGTGGAACCAACGCACAGGCCATTGGTATCCTTATCATCTTTGACATTAAAGCCATTGCTTTTCTGAATATGAGTGAACCGATTCACTTCAGCAACTAGTTCATCCTTGGTGCTGTTACAAGAGGTAATCACCTAAAACATTCAACTACGAAATATTAGATATCACTTGATGAGAAGATGTGTAAAGAAACTGGAAAGAAGATCTGCGTCCAACCATGTTAACTGCGAAACCAACGTATTTTACAATTCTACTATCCTTGACCAAAAGAAGACTTAAATATACTTCCCAATTCAAGGAAAATTACCAGTATTCCGCCAGGGGCAAGCAACTTGGTGAGAGCCTTCCAGTATTGAACCCTGCGATCAATCAAAACCAAGTTAGTACTCACAACCAGTCCACAGTGAGGCTGCGCTGCCATGCTATTGCTAGAGGGATTAAAGCTACACAGCCGCGAAGGTGCTGAACGGAGCATTACACACGTAATGAACTGGAACTATGTAACCAACGCCATTCATGAGTGTGCACCTAGCATAATTCACATGGTTAGTCCTACCTGCGTGAAGGACCATCAGGATGAAGTCCAATGGCATCAAGAGTTCCCTTATCCGTCACCAACTTGAAAAGCTGATTAATTCTCGTGTCTAGAACATCGTCAACCTACAAAAAAACGGGGGCTTAGACATTACCAGCAAATCCTCCAGCATCGTGAGTAAAGCCAACAGATCATAAATAAGAGAAATGGCAGCTCCTACTAGAATGTAATCCTGTCATCGAAAAACATTTTTTCGTCAAATATTCTCCGACAGACAAAGTACAGATATTTCTAATCCAAAAGATGCCATCGAGTCTTCTCAGACGCAATAATTTCAAAAGAACTTTCCAGTTCTTCTACCTGCGAAGGATTCATGGTACTTACTACAAACGTGATGTTGTCAACGTTATTCCGCGCTGATATTGCCCTTGCAAGCTCGATTGCTCCCTCACTATAATCGGTTCCTGTCAAATCTGTGAACCTGCGTCACAGAAAGCGTAATAACAATCTTACCGTTTTCAAATACATCATATTCTCGTTGCTTGTAAGCAAGTTTCCAAAACACCAACATGATTACGAATTTTTTCAGTTAACACTTCAGGACTCATGAAAAGCTTTAATGACCACAATCCAGGATGATGCAATGAATAAGTAAAGAGAAATCGTGTGATGCTAGAGTTATATACCCTTGCTTTGCTAAAGCATGCAGAAGCAAGCCATTCCCAGTACCGAGATCAAGGACATTCCAGCTCGCCAGTTCCAATGCTACTGAACCGACAGCGAAAACAGCCTCCCTCGTCCCTAATACATCTACATCGTCACAGGGCAGGCCTGCTGCAACAGAAACACAAACTCTAGCTGTCCAAGCGGCCATAGTTTCCATCACCTCATCTCCGAACCTTGAATCATCCCAAACGTTGAATCACGTCAGATCCCACCCAAATTTTGAAGGGTCGTTAGTAGCTTCAGAAGTTATACGACTGAGATGTTCCTTAATCATACAAATTCTTCTCCATTAAGAGATCTCAGAAAAAAATTATCAGTTAACACTTCCTGAAATTCTACCCTTTTCGACTTTTGGAGCAACAGAGATAGATCTAAAATCTATAGAATTGGTCGAGCCGCTGACCAGATTTCACCAGCGTCGCCTTGCTCGTGAAAGTTGACGAGTTCGTCTGCATAGGTTGCATCCCAATGCGACTGCAGGCCGAGTACTGAAGGCTCCACATCTGCATCGTTCTCTTCCTTGTCTGATCTGAACCAAGTATAGTAGGAAGTCAGTCGGGAGGACTAACATTCTTCAGACCGACTCATAATCTGGTTCCACGACCACAACTAGAGTCGTCCTCAGTATATCAAGAATATTAAATAATTTCCATATATCAGAGAATGTCACGGTACCATACTAGACAAACAAACAGTTGGGTTGTAGCAATAAGCAAGAATACTAATTTGATGCTACATTGAAGAGTCCGATTAGTCAATGGGCGATCTCCTATTGGTATGAATTTCAAAAAACAACACAGATTCGAAGTTTTCTAATCCCCAAGGATAAGATACTAGAATCATCCAGCTACTCGAGAACTTTTGAGCGCCCTCCAAGATTTTGGTAAAGAAAAGCATCCAATTTGATGCCATAAAAAGATAGAGAATAAGAGAAGGACGCACAGATAATCAGCGGTGCGAAACGAAGAAGCATTGAAAGCATCAACAACGTCGGCATTCCTTTGATCTTCGCCATCCAAGGTGCTACCGTATTCACTGCGGACGGACCAAGAGTCAGCAGCAACGGATCGCTCATCGTCGGAGTAATGCAGGGAGGCAGTGGCATCGAGAGCAGAAGAGTCAGGAGGACGTGTGGCAGCGTGGTCGGCGGGCACATCGGGCGGGCAGCGGGTGCTGGCCATGGAGGACGTTGCGGCGAGAGCTGGGGATGACCTAGACGGAGAGGGGAAACAACAGGAGGGATGGTGGGAGGGAGGTGGAAGTGCAGGGACTACAGCAGCGGAGGCGGAAGGAAACCCTAAAGCAGGGACCCCACGGTGGAGCCACCAGGAGGAGGCGGAACAGGAGAACAGCAGCGAAGGAGTTAGAAGAGGAGGGGGGGAGGAGCAAGAGGAGGACGTGAAAACCGGGCACGACGAGACTGCACCTCAAGGGGAAGACCCTCCCCACCTCACCTGGACGGACTGACGGATGGATGGATGGATGCCATGCGATCACCTCGTGCATCCCCACACCACAGCCTCGGTTTGACGAAATCATCCCTGGAACAGGACCTTTACCGCAGGTTTTCATCCATTCAGATATCAGTCTAGGCACTGCCCCCCCCCCCGCTGCCCCGTGGCAGTGGGCAGTGAGCGGGCAACGAGCTGCGCAGCACCCAAACCTATGTAAATATTGTGATTTTACATTTACAAACAACAGCTGGTGCAAATGGTTACAGATTTTGGCAGTGCAAGTCCTGAGTTCGTCTCTGGCTACTTGCACAGTAGACAAGTATGTTGTGCTGGCTTTTTGACCCCTCCTCTCCACTCTTACCCGCTTCTCTCAATCCTTAGCACTTTGCTTTGCCAAGGCCCCTTTGGTCTGTGCTTCCCTTTACCATTTTCGAATTTTGTGGGCGGAGAAGTAGGCAAGGGCAGGCATACAAAAGTTTTGTTGAAATTGCAAACCATTCTCTTGTGGATGAAAACTAAAAAAAACAAACCAACAAACAAATATTGTCATGTTATGGTTCTTCAAGAAGATCCGTCCTAGGTTTATAGCCTCTTCTCCTCCTCTCTACAACAAATTTGTCATGAATCTTTTATTACACCAAGATCTAAAGTATCAATCTCTTTCTTCAATTAAATTTATTTGGTAGATTTTGTTGTTATTTATGATTGATGAACTTTAATTTAGTTGAAGAGAATAATCACATATTACTTCTGCTATTAGAAAGGTCACTTGACCTTTCAACTTTGTGCTTCCCTTTTACTATATTTCAAAATAGTGAGTATTTTCAACCATATTAGTTAAGACTTATCAATAATATTATATTCACTATCTTCCTTGTTAGTTTAGTATTTAGTTTATTGGCTTTGTTTTTATTTTTTAACTTAGCTAAAGGATTTTTGGTTCTAGAAGGAAAAATTAACATGATATTAGAGCTCTAATATTATTTTATTAAAGTATAGCTATTCACTATAATGACATTTTTTTTAGATTGGAAGAATTATGATCTAATTATTACTTATCTAATATAGACCTTGTATAGTACTTCAATCAAGATAACAAACTTGATGGAGAATTTATTTATTTATTTATTTATGAGTCAATTTTAATAAAATCTTTTCTATAGAAAGATAAAATTTGGAATAAATTGGACTATGAAGCTATCCTTGTAGACAAAGACAATAAAGAAGATGAAGTAGATAATGAGAATAATCATGTAGAAGATCTTAGTGAAAAAATTATTGCTCCAGCAAATAGTATTGTACTTACACAACTACAAGATTAATTTTTTGTTCTTGTTGATCGTCTTCTATCACAACTTTGCATTTGAAAATTTTATATTAAGGCTAGGTCTATTCTAATAGATATTGTGAAAGAGTTGTATAGTCTTAAGATTATATGATTTGATATAGATGTTGTAGGATATTCAAAGCTTATAATCTTGAAGCTAATACCAAGATGAAGAGATGATATCATCTTATTATAAATGCTCTTGTTAATGCTTGTAAAAATAAATCAAAGTAGTAATCAAGACTTCTACTATTTGCATTATGGACAAATAAAACCACTCATTGTATTGTTACTAATTATATGCCTATTGAACTGATATTGGTCCAAAAACTAATTATGCCTATGGAAGATTTTTTGCATAATTGGATATTATTAAATTGAAAGGATGACATCACAGTAGAAAGATTATTCAAACTCTAGATTCAACAAGTTGAAAGATTGCCTAAAAATCAAGAGATTGCATTAAAAAACCTAAAAGATTTCAAGTAAAGCAAAAAAGAAAGATTTGATAAAATTCACCATTTGAGATCCAAACCAATTGAAGTTGAAAAATGGGTGTTTGTGATTGATAGTAGTTTTGAACATCAATATAACATTCTTAGAAAGTTTGTTCAAAGATGGTTTGGTCCATATTTAGTAATGATAGCATATTATTTTTTTAGTCTATTTTTTGCATATAAAGTTTTTATTTTCAATTCTTTCTTAGGTTAATGAAAGTGAGTTCTATCATCATTAGAACTAGTAGAAACTCTTCCTCATAGTAATCCTTGGAATTAAGTGAAGATCTTTGTAAGAGTTTTTATAAGGCCATAATTGATATGAGATTTTTTTCTATTGCAATCATTTTTTGCTTCAATTGCTATCAGCCAAGGGTCTATTTTATACTAATAGGTAGGAATTCTTACTTTGATGGATATGAATAACATGGAAAGTGAAGAAATACTTCTCACCACTTGCGATCATCTTATACCTATTAACCTAGGTTTAGGAAGTGTCTTAGCTTTGATTAGCCATATTAATTATATAGGAAGAAAGGCCAACTGAAACAAGACCAATCTATCTCAAATATCTAGAACCTTTTTAATCCACTGCAACATAAAAACCTCATTACAAGATAGGACAAATTAGACTAGAACAAAACTGAACAAAATTAAAAAAAAATAGGACATGGAAGACAAAATTGAGCAAATGAAAATAATACAAAATAAAAGTGAATAAGAAGATGAAAAACCAAACTTTACTAAGAGAGAAGATTAGAAGCCATATCTGAAAAGATGCCCCAAAAGGCCCTAGCTAGTCCTATTTATACTTTTTTTAGGATACTACCCTATACTTTTTAGAATATTCATAGGTGGTGGATTCTATTTAGATAACCACCTTAAACTCTTTTTAGAAGATTGTATAATAAATCCTACTTAAATAATCATCCTAAGCTTTGTTTTAGAAAGTTCTATGGTGGATCCCACTTAAATAATTACCCTAAATTCTTTCTAGAATGTTCCAAGATGGATCCTATCTGATCCACTAACCTAATCCTAATTCTAAAAAAATTCCATGGTTCTAACTATCTATCTCTATATATCAATCATATAGACATCTTATTTATACCTTGTTATAGTTAATCCTCCTCCATCAATGCAAAATGTCCTTGTTTTCTTCTTGATAGTATCTCCAAATTGTCTCTTTGTAATAGATGAGATTTTGTGTAAGTTCCCACATTGCAGCATGAATGGGATAACCTTTTTAAAGAACTTTGTGTTGAAGTTCTGGACATCCACTACCACAACAAAGATAGCAATGCTCTAAAATAATATCTACTTTATATTTTTGTTAGTCATCTAGTACAACTAGTGATAGTAGTTGTTGGTATTGATCTAGAACGTGCTTTTGCTTAGTATGAAATTCCTTCAATTGCAAAACATAGAAGACTGGATGGACCTAGAGAAATGGTGAAAGCCCAAGGCAATACGCAAAATCAGAAATCATTGCAAAAATGTAAAAAGGTCCAAACCACAGAGATGCTAGTTTACAGATTTGGATTGATGTAGCAAGTTACAAGTTGGCATTGGAGTATAACACCTGATCACCCTCCTGAAAGATCTTGTATTGCCAGTGGTTATCTATATAATACTTCTCTTGATTTTATGCGATAAGAAGGTAATGTTATGCCTCTTATAAGGCCATTCTAAGCTCTTGTATAAATTCCTCTATGGTTTGATTTTTGATGTTGATGGAATGATGGAGAATTATTGGCATACTTAGATGTTGACCAATATTAAGAAAAAATGGTAAATGACCAGTACTTACTTGAATACTATCATTGTAAGCAAACTCCAAGGGCATCAAGTATTTATCTCAATCATTATGATGAACCACCACAAATGTCCATAGCATATCTTCTAAGGTCCAATTTGCATGCTCTATTTGTCCATTTGTTTGGAGATGGAAGGCTATAAGTATGACATATCATGTGTCTAGTAGCTTGAACAAAGTTTGCCAAAAACTTCTCATGAAGTATGGATCCCAATTTGAAACAATGATACGAGATAATCCATGGTGGCAAAAGATTGTATCAAAGAAGATTTGTATAAGCGCTAGGGCATCAATATCTAAGCGCATCGTGGCCAAGTGAAGTTGCTTCAAGAGTCGATATACAAAGATAACAATTGCGATATGATTATAAGGCATCTGATATAAATACATAATGAGATCCATAGCCATCTGCTTTCAATGTGTTATAGGTAGTAGAATTAGCTATAATAGTTCAAAAGATGTTGCTTTGCATGCTTTATTATAATAATATGATTTGCAAGAGCACACAAAGGCTTGAACATCTGTCATGGATATACTCATGTAAGCTAGTAATTACATATACAAATAGGTGGAAGTAAGTAAAAGTAGATAAAAATAAGTTTATTCTATAGTATTTTATATAGAAGCTTCCTAGAAGCTTCATAGATGCTCCTTTGACTTCATAGGTATCTTTAATTGACTTTTTGGATTAAAAACGTGGTCAACAAGTTGGCCATGTGCCACACATGTTGTTAGCTTGAAGATCAAGCTAACTATGTGGCCCACACATAGAAAAACTTGCCTTGTAACTCAAGGCATGTCTTCTATAAAGTCAATACATATTGAAGGTCATATAGAACGTTGCCACGTAGCCTCTAGTTAGATAGTATATATAGAGACAAGAGTGAAGGCTTCTTCACTCTTGTCAACTCTTTTCTTGCTTCTAGTCTAGTTTCAAGGGTCTCTAGTTTTCTTGTCTTTTGGCAATAGCCATTCCAGTTTCTCTTTCAATATGTATACTTGTTTACTTATATTTTGTTACCTTTCTTTGAGTGAAGGCTCACTTGTCTGAATTATTTTTTTTATCGAGTTCTTGTCCTTGACAGATTGACAAGAGTATACCTATAATATCAGAGCTTTGTCTAATCTTGATTAAGAGTGGATTACCCCTTTTTCTTGATAAGATATAAGCATATTAGAAGTTACGGATTACCCTCTTCTAAACTATTATTGTCCTTAGTATTTTCTTTGTTCTCAAGTCATCTCTTCTATTTGTCTTGAGCGATATTAGACATCTTCTCTTTTCTAAGTGTTATCATGGCAAAACTTA